CGTCTGCGCAGGCAGGCGGGGAGAGCCGAGGCGCAGGGGGACGGAGACGGGCGCCAGGGGCAGAGGAGGTTGGGCTCGCCCGGGCTGCCTGGGCGTCACGGCATTATTCCTCCCGTTATCTCCGGGGTTAACGAAGCAGCCGGTTCAGGGGCCAAGCTGGAGGCTCGGCCAGCTCTGCCTTCCCTGTTTAATTAGCACACGGTGCCACGGAGCGCGGGGGCAGTGGTGCTGCGGGACGCTCGGCTCCCAGGAAGGGACGGCAGCGTTTCACGCACACCGTGCTACGAAACCACTGGTGCCAGAAACTATTATTCACGTTCCTGAGCCACCCCGCTCAGGATGGGGCTCGCGTGGCCGAAGAGACGGGCGTGTGGGGTGACCAAAATAAATGAAAGCTCTCGGCTGCAGACTCCATCCAGCCCAAGCCGTAGTTTAAAACCATTCAGAGCATCCCAGGTGAGGTGGTTTTTTTTTTTCTTTTTTTCTTTTTTTTTTTTCTTTTTGCTCCCTTTGGGTAAACTACTCTGCTCAGGACGCTCCGACCCATTAAGCTGAGCTGTAACTAAGCCAGTCCAACCCCCGCGCAGCCATTTTCACGCCAGTCTAAGGCTGCCTCGGTTTATTTTGGCTTAAGGCCGTTCCCCATCAATTGGCATCAAACCACTATTAGTAACTGAGACGGTGTCCGTGCGGGATTAGGCCGTTCTCACAGGCTGGGTTTAGCCCGGCTCCTTGTGTAAACCAGGCCCTTATGACTCAGGAGCTTTGAGCCAGGCTTAAACCTTGCCGCGAGGGGCTGGGGCGTTACGGTTGCACCTGCAGCCCCAGCTGGTCGGATTCGGCGGGGGACGGCTGCATTCCCGGTGGGGAGCAGGTGACACTGGGGTGGTGGGGGGGACACGGGTGGCACCCTCACGTACCCGTGGCACCGTCACCCCTCCTCCCACGGCATGAGGGGCAGATACCCACCCGGGTGGGTATGAGCCAAACGTGTGGCTGGGCTGCCTGGCACCCACCGGGCTCCTCCATCGTGGGGCGAGGAGCTTGCTTGCTCCGGCGCGGCGATCCCCAACGCAAGGCTCACCAGTGCCCACCAGTAAGGCCCAGGAAACCCTCGCCACCTCCACTATAAAGTCTGGAGGGACCGGAGAGGAGCGGCAGTGGTGGCAGTGGTGTTGCTGGATGCGCTTGGCAAAGAGGAGCGGCTCGATTTTGGGGGTGGGGGGAT